CTTGAGAATCTTTTTTACCACTTTCTTATCATCAGTGACATTTGTAACAGTCTTCCAAGAGATAAGCTGCAAGTCAATTAGTAATGTCGCACTGGGTGGAACAGCACCCTCAACACCAGATGCAGCCTTTCCCTTCTCGCCGAACCCATCTGTAACATTTAGTTTGGTTAGTAGAGTTACCATGTGAAGAAAAAAAACCAATGCCCACGAGATTAGTTTGCAAAGCCAATCACTTACATTGAGGCTTCACTGTAAGCTGCACCTTTTCTCCCTTCTTCATGGTCTTCACAGCTCGGGAAAGTGCAGGGCAAAAATGTCCTATTTGAAGAAAAAAGGTGTTAGCAGAACAGACACTGCAAGTCTTGAATTTTGCGTGCAGAGTATTGGTCTAGATGGCCACAGCAGGATGAAAAAATACCTTCTTGAACTGTGAACTCCACTCCATCTGATTTTGCAACTAAAGTCCCATCTTCAAGACGGGCTTCAAAGTTCACTGAAATACAGAATGAGTAAAGAAAACCAATCAATCATGACATCCAAAGCAATGGTGATGCATAACATGACACATGAGCAAGATGTACTGCTTACCTAAGACCTCATCAAGGTCCTTAGGGTTTTCCCATTTCTCCCCTTCAGCAATAATCTTCTTGAAAATGCCACCATCTTTGCAAATGTCCTTGACACTTACCCATGACAGCAACTCAACATCAAACTGCAATGTTGCATTCGGAGGAATGGTTGGTGGAGAACCAGACTCTCCATAGGCAAGCTCTGGGGGTATGGTAAAAATTGCATTCTCGCCCTTCTTCATTGTTTTGATACCTTGATCCCATCCTTTAATCACTTGCCCTGCTCATCAAGATATAAGAAAACTCTTCATTCATCCCCAGAGTAGTGTGATTAAACTACTAACATCAATCAGTATTGATTACAGGAAGAAGAAGAAAGACCCTTCACACATGGATGATCATTGATAAAAAAAGATAAAATAATAAGCAATATCCAATTAATCAGTGGATGAAATAACTTAGACTTTAAGGATCACATAATCTCATAATAAATTCATTGCTCAGACTCAATACGCAATGATATCACAATTCAATCGATAAGAGAAAAGTAGAAGCCGATGACTACTAACCTTGATCAAGAGTGAACTTAAACGGAGTGCCTCTATCTCGACTAGAATCGAACTTAGTTCCGTCAAGCAGAGTCCCAGTGTAATGCACTGCAAAATTCAATCACTCACCGATGAATACAAATTTCTCAATCGTAAAACAGAGTGCTTCAATTGTCGCATAATCTATACCTTCAACTTCATCCCCAGCCTCCGGAGTCTCCCATCGTTCTCCTTCCTTAACGAGCTTCTTCTTCAACCCCTGCTTCCCGATCTCCTTCTCCTCGCCGACCTTAATCATCGGACTGTCGTCCGGCAGATCCAAGTCCTCCATCTCCTCCGCCGGCGGCATATCGAAATCCTCCATATTCCCAGGCGACGGCGCTAAGATCTACGCGTGATTGAAAGAATGAACGATTCTTCTTCAATTATCAGTTTCTGGCCACTGTAAGGTGCGGAAAATAGACGAATCGCAGCTTTATATAGTGCGAGCTCCAGGGTTCTAGAGAGTTCTTAATCGGGAAAAAAAAGGAGAAACTACGAAGAGCCAGGATGATTCCAGAACTCTCTGTGAAGAGATCTGCGGCTTCTCGGCAACGACGATGATTTTCAGCCGTTGGATCTTTTTAAAGTCAGCTGTGCTAGAAAAATGGACTCGGTAGAGTTTGGGCTTGTTGGGTCTTTTATAAAAAAGGGTTTTGTGCAGGATGAGCTTAAACGGACTATAATATTTAATGGGCCCAATGTTCAACAACTTTGTCAAAATCAAAATCCCAAAAAAGAAGCTACATCTCCAATTAATCTAAAATATCTCCAAAACAACTTCTATTCATAATAAAGAAAAAATATGGTAAATCTTAGACAATATAGATATGTATAGAAGTATATTTTGGGATGTTCAAAAACTGAAACATGAAGCGATTTTAGAAACGGGAAGAGTATGTGATTAGGGATCCTTGATTAATTTATGATCTTAATTTTTTTGATATGTTGTTTGAATGGTTATGACATTCAACCGTGTGATTTAGATTACATTGTTTCGTCGTCAATTTTTTTAAGGTGATTCATAATATAATGATGAGAGTGGAGCAGGAGGTGAGTGTAGTTGTCATATATTGAGAGCTGGTAAGGTTCTTTTGACCTTAGAAAAAAAAGACTCGAGATTAAATAATATATTTTGAATCATTTATGGCACTCTCTTGATAAAATTGATGGTTCATATCTCACTAACTCATCGTTGACCTCTTAGTTCGGCGCGTTCCTAACGCACCCTCGCACCATTTGCAATTGTACCAACTAAAATTCAGCCAAAAATTTCACTCTATAGTCAACAAAAATTCAAGACCAACTTTTCATGAAACCAAATCAAATGCATTTTTAGAAGTTAGAACTAGTCTTTGATAAATCAAAACTCAGACATTTTTTCTCAAAAAATTGTTTACACATGATTATTAAAGCCATTTTTTAATATACTCTATAATACTCCTTCAATACCAAATTCTATTGTCTATGTATTATTCTTATGGTCAAAATTCATTTATTTTCTTTGCTTATTTTTCGTTGGTCATTTGAAAGTATAATAATACTCCTTCTGTCCAAGTTGGAACTTCTCAGTTTGACTTGGCACGATTTTTAATGTAACACTAAAATTGCTTTGACTTTCCACATTTGCCCTTTTGTTTTTTATCCTCCTAACCCCACCTTACCCCTGAAAAGTTTCATTCTCAAACCCACCCACTCCTGCAAACCCACCCACCCCATTCTTGACATCTTCGTCTTTAAAGAGATTGGGCTCAAAATCAATAGCTAATGAAATTGAAAAAAAAATGAAGAGATGAGGTGAGATCTATTTCAAATCCACCATTGTCGTTGGGTCTGCCATCACCTCGTCACCTGAAAGCTTTTCCATTACCGCCGCCACCTGGTCGTGAAAGCTTTTTCCGAGGAAGAAGATGGATGGGATCCAGATCTATAGGTTTTCTAGCTGGATTTTGCTAAAATCGAAATGAAATTAAAATCATTTGACTGTGGAAGGACGATCTGGATTTAAAGCCCAGATGGTGCAGGAACGAACTTCTATATCAGAATCCCTTGAGCCGCTACATGTGCACCACCGCCAGAGGCTCGACACTGGCAAAGAAAAAGAGGGGGAGTGATGATGATGTGAGGTGGGGGTGGGCGCTGATGAACACAAAGGCTGAAGAAGAAGAAGAAGAAGATGATGATGATGATGAAGATGAAGAAGAAAATAAAGAAGAAGAAGAAGATGATGATGAAGATGAAGGTGCTGGGGAGGGGGTGGCTGGTTAACTTTAAATGAATTTTAATTCCATTTTAGGAAATAGGAAGAAGAGACGGCTCAAAAAAGAAAGTGAGAAGAAAGATATGGGACTAAGGGAGTATAATCATGTCATTCCTACTTTTATAGGTATTTTAATGTAGCTTTTATATATGTAATTTCAATATTTAATTCTGATGGAAGCTGCTTTTTGGAGTGTCACGAACTCGGTACCCGGTCGGCACCGCACCAAATAGAGAAATCCAAAAAATAAATAAAACGGAGATAAAGTATTTATACGTGAAAACCTAAATTGGGAAAAAATTGTAGTCTTTTTTAGGTCATACCATGCCAAGGGGAGGAACTTTTATTAATCCAACGGGAATTTACATATACATCATTGTAAGAGTCATTAATGAAACTTCAAGCTTAAAGAAGAAGAAGAATGAAGAATAATAGTAGGAACTTGTGGGAATTGGCCTCATTCACTCCTTCATACTCTCTCTTTTTAAAGGGGAATTCCTCTAAAAAA